TCTCCCTCATCCACCAGGGCAGGGGGGGAGTGAGCGAGCAGCTGTGTGGTGCTCAGTTGCCGACAGGTTAAACCATGACTGGGTTGGAAGCAGAGGTGGGATTTCCTATGCAAGCCCCTTAGCCCTGTGGGGTGCATCAAGTTTTCCCCAGGGCTGCAGGAGAGAGTATTTTCCCTCTCACGCAGACACTCTGCAGCGTAATGGGCTGTGATGGAAGCTGGATTTCAGTGAAAGCTGTCAAGGTACAGCACAGAAGCTCTTAAACTCCCAACGAGCTGGACTGAGCTGCTTCCAGTCAGCTGGCTGTGGTTCGCTTTGTGGTGGTTGACTTCTGGAGACAACTTATCCCTGCAACAGAAATGTTTTTGCTTTTTAATAGCTGTACTACAGACCACTGTATCACAAAAAGTAGCAGTCTGCCCTGTCCTCTTGTTGCTATCGTGGGCTATGTTTGACTTCAAGGCAATTTGTGTGTTTGCTATTGGATGTGGACAGAAGTTGGCATTTTCTGTGAGGCTGGTGTGCTATCTATAAAGCTTTATACCTCTCGTCAAAACTGTAACAAATTTTTGGATGTGAGAAAGCAAGTTCTGTCTCCAAGTGAGGCACTGAACCCAACTATAGAAAAAGCAAGCAATGGTTTGTCCCTTTTGAAGCCATTCTGAATGTACTGGGCCCTTGCAAAGATGAGTATCTTCCATAACTGAATGGATAGGAGACATTGTTGGAAGTAAGCTTAGAGATTGCTGCCCAAGGGACTGATCCGATGACTGAATCAGCAGGGTTTCTTTGTATTTTAGTCTCCAAAATACAGGACTTATTCAGACAACAGACAGCAGGAAGAGGAAAGCAATCAGCTGATAGCACGTCCCACGTTAACAAAAGGCACTGAGCAACTAAAATCCTGTTTGTAAATAATACAAATTCTGTTATGCCAACCTCAAAGATCAGCTGGAGTCGGAGCCCTTCCAGAAACCTAAGCTTTTGGGGAGAACATCCCCAGTGTTGTGTGGCCCTCCAAGCTGTAGAAGAGACCTTGGTCCCTGCTGCAAGATTTGTTTTTCCTTCTGTCTGGATACATTTACCTCTTTCTTGCTGTAACCTTGATCTGTAGCTGTACTCCAGCTAGGGCATGTCAGATAGGAAGATGAACAGACGTGCAAGAATGCTGAGGCTTTTTGCAATATCATCACCTTGGCCAAGGATGAAAACAGTCTTTCAAAACCTGCTGGATACTCATTCATAAATTGATGCTGTTGTATTAATGAAGGAATTCCACTTTAGTCTTCAATGGCTCCATAAAATAGTTAGTCATAGCACAGTACAGAGGAAAAAAGAAAAAGCCCCGTGTACATGATGACTAAGAAATAAGAGAAGCAAAGGTGTTAAGAAGGAACTAAATCAAATAAATTACATCTACTTGAGAACCAGTCACCAATTCCATAGCTGGAAAATGCTGAAGTGGCTAAAGTTCATGTTTTTCTGAAGCATTTGGTTAGTTCATAGGAATAGCACACCTGCTTCTTCAATGACATTAAGCAACTACTCTGCAAATATTATCCTCTAAAGATCCATTAGGGCTTTTTTCTTGCAGGCTGCAAACCTTTACACATTCAGTATGCAGGGGCCTTGGACTGCACAAAATCTCCTCCCCTTATCATACCACTTTTTTCTTTTCCTCCAAACCCCTTAAGCTGTGCTGCAGATTTCATTTTTTGCTCTGATAACCTTGAGAGGTGCTGTTAGGCAACTAATGAATTAAAACAGGGAAGATAAAGATGTGTGTATTCCTGAGAATATTCTCAAGCGATTCCGTTCAAGATAGTAGCCAAGAGGAACGAATGCCTTTGTCATGCAGACCTCGGAAGCATCCCAGATGTAACTGGTACACAATAAAACCCTGAGAAGCAAAGATTTATTAAAGGTGCAAGGTCTTAGCAAGAATGGAATGCTAATGAGGGAGGAAAGCCCATGAACTGCTCTCGT